TATTTTAGCCGGATTGGCTTCAATTCCGCGCTGGCTGACCATATAACCCAGAAATTTTCCCGATTCGACTCCAAAAGTACATTTCTTAGGATTTAAGACCATGGAATAAGATCGGAGGATGGCGAACATGTCTTGAAGATGCATTATATGATCAGAGGCGTGCACCGACTTGACGAGCATGTCATCAACATAAACTTCCATAGTGTGACCGATCAGTGTAGCGAACATTTTGTTGACGAGACGTTGATATGTGGCTCCGGCGTTCTTTAATCCAAATGGCATCATTGTATAACAGTACAAGCCTCGGGCCGAATAGAATGAGCTGTGTTCAGAATCTTCAGGATCCATAGGAATCTGATTATAGCCCGAGTAAGCATCCATGAAACTCATCAACTCATGTCCCGACGTTGCATCAACCATATAATCTATGTGGGGAAGCGGATAACTGTCCTTCGGGCACGCCTTATTCAGCTCGGAAAAATCGATACACAGTCTCAATAGCCCATTGCTCTTTTTGACAAGAACAGGATTTGAGACCCACGTCGGGTATTTGGCTTCCTTGATGAACTTGTTGTCGATGAGTTTTTTGACTTCTTCTTCCAACGCCTTCTGACGATCCGGCCCCAGTTTTCTTCTCTTTTGTACAACAGGCCGGATGGTTCGATCGAGGTTCAACTTGTGGCTAGCGACACCGGGGTCGATACCCTTCATATCCTCGTGCTTCCAAGCGAAAACATCAGAATTGTGTTTGAGAAACGAGATAAGTTCTGACCGCAGAGGTTCTTGAAGATGACTTCCAATACGCAGTGATTTGTGGAAGACCGGTTCATCAATATAGATCAGTTCTACGTCTTCTCCAGGTTCGGCTCGATCACTTCGCCTTTTTTCTTTAAACAAGGCTCTAGGGTCCAACTCGTCCTCTTCAAGAAGTGGCTCCTTTCCAGGTCGGCGACCTCGTTCTTCGGTCAAAGGATCCGAGGTGGAAGGATCACCGACGTGGTTGTTCGGTTCTTC